TTAAAGCACCTTATCTTTAATAACATAGATTTTTTGTAGTTTAAATTTCATAATAATTATACGATATTGTACAAAATTAAAAAATAATTATACCTACTAAATTAAAAAAGTAAACGATACATGCATTATTATAAATAGTAAATTAGAATCACTTTTTTTATTGAATACAAATTACTTGTCTGCAACGGATAATGTGGAATAATATAGATAATTTTAAAGTATGGGGACTCATGCTATATGTATGTGGATAACATTATTGTATTCAATTATTGTAAGTTGAGAAGATTCAGAAACCACACTTTCATATATGCGCTTTTAAGATTCTTCGAAATTCTGCGAGGGAAGACTGATACTATATTGACGAAATGAATTGGGTAGTGCAGATACGTAAATATTACACTTACGTTAACTGTATCTACAGGAAGAAATCAGTAATCCGGAAAAGAACCAGACTTCAAATGCTTCGTGCACAGTACTTTAACATTAGAAATATCTACAGTACGTCTGTCCGTTCTGTAGCTACGGGGTATCCGTGAGAGGGGAAACGATATTCTCTCGATGTTTTTCGTAAAAAAATAGACGACGCGTCCCATCAATAAAAATTCAACAACTTTGCAAGTAGCCAATAAAATGAGTGGGCGGAGCGATTTGCGGTGACTGAGTTTAAATCGACGTATAAAATATATTGCTGTTTTAAATGTTTTTTGTCCGCATTCCTTTCATAGACACAGATCCAGCAGATGTACTGTACTGTAGGCGGGGACAGAAATCTTCAATTCTGAGCACTCATGGACTATAAACCATTATTCTTGATTTTTGTATACTTTCTACAATATTTGCAACTGCGGTATACTTTTTTTACCGTAAAGCAGGCATGCATTAATCTTTAACATTTGCAGTTATTATTAAGTCCTGTGTGCACTAGTGCTCTCCAACGGAAGACAAAGTCACGATGCAATGAAGACTTGAAAGATAACATAAGAATCCCTTAATATTACCATTATTAATATGAAAGGTTATATTTAGACTTTAATAATTGGGTTTTAAATGCGAAAATACAATATGAGAAATAGTGTCAATTTTGTCAGCCCTGTAACTCTTAAAAGGTAAAACCTATGAAAAAAATGCATTCAACCAATTTTGTAGAGAATTTTGTTAGCATTATTTTTATATATAGAACGATTTTCGGTAGATGTCACAATTTCCGAGATATAAGCAAAAAAGTGAAAAAATTGACATTTAACTCCTCCCTACTCCTCGAGCTCATCGTCTATCTTTGGGGACTTTTGACACATATCAGCCCAGATCCAGAGAAATCATTTAAAACCATTTTCAAAACTGTGGGATTTTTTCCACCGATTTTTCTAATTTGACTGGGCTATTTAATGGATTTTGATTTTCAGTTTTCTATTACATCTCAATTTTCGTAATCATTTATGTATTACCTATCAATAATTATACATATACATTAACTTACTAGTATTCTTTATCCTATATCTGAATTTTGAAGTAAAATAGCGAATATGTTTGTCTGAAGAACTGTATGTTTAATTGAAATAAAACAAATGTATGTTGTTTAAGGTTACGTTTTTTACGGGTCCAGACTATAGTAGGAAAAGCAGAACACAGGATCAACGTATCGATTTCAAGCAATTCTACTGGCTGAACATTTTCGAAAATTCATCTGCCAAAAAATTTCACTCAATAGAATTGCTGAAGATCGATACGCCGATCTGCCGTCCTGCTTTTCCTGCGATGGTGTGGATTCACCCTCATAAAATGAATGTATTGAGTTTTTATGCAGTTATACCTTATCCTCACGTTATGCGTTATACTGCTCATGCATACTTCTAACGAAATAATGGATTAGGTTTTACTTGTCATCTCATTTTTTACCGTTGTTTATTTGAAAGGTGACGTTTGTTCTAGTCCAAGCGTCAAATAAATTATAACCATGAATCAACCATTGAATGTTTAGTCAAGAGGTTTAGACTTATTTCAGGATTTTGTGATTGTTGCTAAAAAAAGTTAAACTGCTTTTCTGTGATGTTTTTCGTTTTAATCCAAGTTGAAGACGGTCTCTATTTTATTAAAAAGATCATTAATCTGACGAAGAAATAATTACAAATTCATTCCAAATATAGATTTATCTATATTTGGAATCAATTTGGATAAATTATTGCAACAAGGGTAAGTCAATGATAAAGTAAAGATCATTATTTGTTTTCAGAACTATTAAAAAAGGATCCGTTTCAATTTAAGTCTGTGAAAATTAACACATTTTCTATAAAAATAAAGTAGATATTCTGCCTTTTTCGATAAAAATAAAGAGCTTGGGGTGAGGAAAAAATCGATTTTTTTAAGATAAGAGAGAAAAATTTTCTAACCTCAAAAGTGTTTTTGCGCTTTATAAAAAAATGCAGAATAGCTAGGGCAAAAAGATAAATTTTAAGATATATTAATGTTAAACCAAAGCAATCAAATTCGTATTAAAAAAGAAAAAAAAACTGAGAGTGAAATCAACGCAATCAAAACACAGCTTCCAGCGCGTTTTGATTGCTAGATCTATATTATTGCAAACCTAATTCGTATTAAAATTAAGAGAATTAAAAACTAGAGAATAAGATAAAGAAAACAAACAATATATTTTGAACACCCGACATTACTCCGCCGCGCCGCCTCGGTGTCGAAAATAGTACCAATTTGTGTTATTTTGTAAAAAGTATTTTAACAAATCGTTATCACAATCTAACCAAGTTCACCTAGTTCTGTCACAAATGCCTTTTATTTTGTTTTCATTGCAAAATGTTTATTTTAAATGCAATACTCGTGACACCAGAAGTGAATCGTCACCTTAAAAAAATGTTAAATAGGGAAGTTATCGGGAAGGTTCAGTTGCACATTTTAAAATTATTACAGGGTGTACAGAGAGGTAAGTTAAGTTACCGGTTTCGTAGCTCTATTCTATCATCAGGTGAGCTTGGGCTGATTCCACAAAATTATTTGATGATGGAGTAGGGCTCCGAAACCGGTAGTGAGAGCAGGCTGTTCCCCATTATGACAAACACAGTGTGGAATTAATTTCTATATAACAGTTCAAGGCAAGAAACTCTTATATAATTTTATTATATACCTAAAAACTGCAAGAAATATTTTTCCATTTTATATTTTTGGCTAGCCGAAAACGCCTCTTTTACTATTGATATTTGCGCCTCGGTGCTACGAAAGTACTACCATTGCACGCAGGTTGCTATCTCGCCATGCGGGCACTAATATCTTACCGCTACTTTACGACAAGTCGGATTTAGATACTCTCTGCTGTGTTTGTCATTTTGTGGAATCAGTCCAAGCTCACCTGATGATGGAGTAGGGCTCCGAAACCGGTAGTGAGAGCAGGCTGTTCCCCATTATGACAAACACAGTGTGAAATTAATTTCTATATAGCAGTTCAAGGCCAAGAAACTCTTACATAATTTTATTATATTACATACAGAAATTATACGGAGAATCTAATAATAAGATCAAATGTTGAATGATAATAAGATGATAACATGTTCTAGCACCCATTTAAAAAATTAAATGTTATATCTGCCACGCTTTTTTGAAGCACTCTGTATACTCTATAATAATTTTAAAATGTGTATATTAACATTTCCTATAACTTTTCTATTTAATATCTATTAATAATCTATTTAATAGAAATAAATTTATTTCTATTAAATACATTTTATTGTAAATCTCCAAACAAATGAGATGGACTTTACTCTATCGTTGACGCACCCTGTACAAACTTTTACGATATTATCGTTTGGTGTATCGCTTATTAGCGTATTCGGTTATTTAATTAACAATGCGCAGCTCAGTATAACTTATAAGATATAACAGAATAGGTTCAGAGGGCCTAAAAACTCCCTATTATCTACTTTTATATTACCTATTGTAATAAGTTTCAAAATTCGTAAGAGCAAAATATGTTAAATGATTTGAGTATACGAGTGTGACTATCGCTCAATGAATATGAATTTTTACAATACAACAAAACTTGAGGTCAAAAAATAATGCTCTCATATAATGTCTATTCTCATGTCATTTGTAGTCTATAATTATTAATTTAAAAGTAATTAAATCTCCTAAATCAAAATTTTAAAGTAAAATCTATTATCAGCTTTACTCTAAATTAATTCACTTAAAATTAACATTATATATTATAAGAATCAGCTATTATAAGCATTTTACACTCCTCTCGAATATAGCAACTCAGCATTTTATCAGAAAATTGTTTTATAGGCTATGTAGACTATAACTAAAATTGAGATCATTAATATATTTTGGGATTAAAAACTGGATTACAAAGTCTATTTTTCTAGTTATTATCCAGCTTGGCATGTATTTTATATTCCAAATTCTCACTCCCATCTTAGTACAAAGAAAAAAAGCAATATTTTAGTTATGGCTATTTTTTAATTAATAAAAAAAATCGAATAAACTATGTATTCTAGAACTTATAGATTATGTAAAATTATTTATTTTATTTATTATTAGTCCTTGCACATATTTTATCATAATTTATTATAATAAGTGTGTCGCCTGTAAGATATTGTTTTTTTTTTGGTAGAAAGTATTTTTTGTCTCAGAATGAGAAAAATTCATCTCTTTATACGGATAATAGACTGTAATCTAGAATTTATGATGTAGAAGACATTGTTTCCTTACAATGTACCGGGTGATTGGTTATATTTTGTAGCTCCACCTACCTCATTTATTTGAAAATTTAAATTATTTATTTAACAGTTGTCTTTATCTACAATGAACACAAAAAAATAGTTATTTCCTTTAAAATTTTCCTACAAGAATAACAGGTGATATACAGGGTGTTTCATTTAAAAAACAACTGTATTTCCTGTCAGTTTTGGGATACTCGTATTTTTATTCTAATATCCATAAAAAAGAAAATAATATCAAAAAACCTACAACTTTAGTATTTAAAGCTTTTTGATAGCTTTGCAAATTAATGAGGTGGTGTGCAAAATATAACTAATCATATGATACGGAAAGTTCCAAGTAAGATTACATTCTGTCAGAACTTTTAATCTTCTAGATGTTATATACATGGTTTATTTTTCCTTATTTCATATACCATTTTACCATTAGGAAACAGCTTGTCCATAAGGGGATTCTATGTTAGAACACCTCCGCCCCAAGACCCATAAAAAGGACATAATTTTAAAACAAAAACCCTAAATATTCTATTTTTTCATATTAGGTCATAAATTTGTCACATACAAAGAGTTAAATATATGGCAACATTGTCACATTTACATGTGATTGAATATATACCCTATATTAATTTTGTTAAGCTTATTGTTGACAGTTTTAGTATGTAAGTCTGTACAACCATCGTTCGATGGTACGTCAATTGTCATACTCTTTCTTTCGCCTAAAAATGAGATGAACATCATTGTTTCTAGTCATTTCACCTTTGTGGTTACATTACTGTCCACGGATGTCAATCAATGTCAAAATTAAAAACCTATTACGTGTTCAAAGAAAATTCAAATTGGTTTGATACTAAAATGTTTGTTTTACTAAAACTGGCATATGCCTAAAATTAATTTATTATTAATAACACGACCAAAATTAATATGCGCCAAACATACCTACTTGAAATTAATAAAATCAGAACGTGCTCTTATACTAATTTCAGAATGTACCTGAAATTTTCTAAACAATATAAACTAATCTCAGGCACACCTTAAAACTGATATTAGAGAATAATCATAACGTAATGTTGACCGATCGTTGTACAGACTATACATAAATGATAACATGTATCTTCGAAATTTGTAAATTTTAAAAACTACTCACACTGGCGCTATTCTCTTGATTTATCTGAGGTTGAGTTAGATGGACTGGAGGATCCAAATCGGGGGCACTGCCCCATTGTCCCCTGGTCATCATTCGATCGTCGTATAAGGAAAATCTTGCGGAATCGGTTGCGGCCTTTCCTCTTGTTTTCCTGACAGATGGCGGAACATCACCAGGAGTTTTTACTCTTTGAGAAGGATCTTTTAACCTTGACAGGTCAGACGTGGATGAGAACACCTGGGAATGAGAAAATACAAAGTTCTTTGAATTACTATTTAAAAACAAACACGGTATACAATGTTAAGTAATGACTAAGGGGGAAGTGACAGCTCCGACAAACGACATACAAAAATTAACAGAACAAATAATTTACTATTGAACCACAATATAAGACAACTGTCACTATCATGTATATTATCGTTGAACATACTAGACTAGAGAATCTACAATAGGTTCAATAAGTTCACAACAAATAGGAAAAAATATTGTTATGACCTTTTAATAAAAAGATTAAGGAAGGAGTATAATGCTTTCCATGTATTCATATTTATGCATGGTCGACGGAAAGAGGACTCTAGGGTGGGGATCCTTGACGGTTCTGTTTGACGATTCATTTGACACATTTTAATTTGATTTGAAATTTTGTGAATTTGTCAGTCTTTACTGAGTATATTTTATGTTATTTATTCTACAACTAGTAGTTGTTTAGAGGTATTACGTCTAGAAGGATTTTTGTTGGGCATAACTGAAATTACCAGTGACACTATTGCGATTTATCGAAAAAGACTAAAATAGTTGGTTGTGTAGCGGTAGATCTCGGTCAAAAATCGAGAGAAATAATGGAATAACTTTTCGCTAATAAGTGACTATATCAGTGGCGGCTCAGGGTAGGCAAGGTAGGCGGCGCCTACCCTACAATTCAGATCAGATTTTTTTTACATTATAATATTTATCTTTATTAATGTTACCAATACACATATAAATACTATTAATACAAGGAAATGAGTTGTAACAATTAATATTAATTTAATATTTGTAGTCTTTTTCACTTATATTAATATATTAACTACCGCTGGGCGTATACAGCGTTAGAAATCAAAATAATTTTGGCCGTTGGTGTATGATGCATTCATCTTTGTTCGGCGATATATAACATCGCCTTTCAAATTAATTGTTGATCTCCCACTCTGTCGTCGATGTGTTTGTCTTTTGTCTCTCTCTAACTCACCGCTCGGTAACGATGGAAATCGATGACTACGTAGAATTAAGGCGAGGTTTAGGCGATATCTTCAGTCGCCTCGGCATGCGCGTGGAGCTCGATAGGTTTTAGAAATTCGGTGGTTTCCATAGTATATTATTCATCATACGTTATCAGTATATCAGTATTTAAAACTTTAATTAAAATTTGTTTATGGACTCCCTATTATTGACTTGAATTATTGTGTACAGTGCATTTGGTGTTCCTGTTAGTGTACATTGCATTTGGATGTTAATTTCTAAGTTAACAAGGAGGAGATACAGATAAGTATTAATTTAGATTAAAAAATTTGGAGTAATTAATGTTGATTTTCAATATGGACAATCGAGTTCATGTAATTTATGCGACGTATACAATACATTCATGCCATTTACAAGTATTTCGGTTGAGAGACATTTTTCATGTTTAAAACGCATTAAAAATTACACTAGAAATTCAATGAAAAATAAACGTTTATCGTCATTTTCCTTACTTTCAATCGAAAAAGATATTTTCATAGCCCTTCAACAATCTGATAACATTACTGATATAATAATAAAATTATTATTATTAAGAGATCGGCGAATCAATTTAATATATAAAAAGTAATTATTCTTTTCATTTGTTAATGAGTCTCGAAATATGTATATGAATAAGATAATCTGTTTTTCTTTGTAAATTTATTTGTCTAATTTGTCTTTGTAAATATATTTACTTATTGTTAAGCTACGTAAATAAATATAAATAAAATAAAATCCTATGATGAACTGCATGGTAATATTATCTACCTTATTTATCAAGCATTAGCATTTAGCATGCTATCTGAGGAAATAAATAAAACATACATATCCATTATGTTAATCATTATCTCATTATGCTGAATGCTGTTAGTTTAGTTTTATCCTAAATATTCTTAAGCTATGTTTTAACCCATAAGCTAACATATTGGTTTTTACGAACTGGGTTAATTAAAATTTTGTCGCCTACCCAGTCCCACAGGCCACGGTCTTGGCCGGAACAGCGATTTTTTAATAACAGGTACAAGCTGTTCCAGTTGCAAAGGATACCTGTTCCAAGAAACCTGTTCCAGTTCCAAACTGTTCCAAAACGAAAATTAATACCGTACTTGCGTCATTCTGATTCGGTTGCTATTTCTCTTTTTAAATTTATATAAAAGAATATTTTTTGCTTAAATAATGAGAACTACTGGGGATTTTTCTGTTTTCTCCAAATTTAATCTACTATCTATGTTGCTATATTACCAATATATAATGTTTTTTAACTAAAAATTAAAAAAAAACTATCAAACTTTCGAAAAATATAAACTTTTCAAAAACATGTTTTCTCGAAAAAAACTCATGAGAATCGAAATATATAACCCCTAAAAATATGTGCACTTATTTAAGACCCACCCTGTACAAGAACTAATGAATAAATATAGATTTATAATTTTGTTATATACTTAAGGCGTAAATTCTTGGAAGAGTTTAATTCTTTTTAATATCTACTATATTTATAATACAAAACAATAACCGACTGTTCTTACACTGTATTTTAAAAAAAAACTACTAATACGATAATTATATTGCATTTAGCAACATCGCCAGCATTTTTTTATAATAAAAAATGTTCCTTACCTATTCTGTTTCTGTTTACATTAAAAAAATAAAATATTTTAAAAAAATTATTATAAATTTAAAATTTATAATAAGAATTGTATTATAAAATATATAATATAATATATATTATAATAGTTGAATTTTAATTGTCAGCCACACTTGTTTTTTACGCCCCTGTATCCCGATAACAGATAACGCCTGAACGGTCGCGTCCGCTAGACTTGGCTAGACTAGCGAAACATTGGGCGAAACCGATATACGATCTCCATTATCAACTCAAACCAGTTCTTTTTACTTAACTGTTTCAAACAGTTCCAAGTTCCTAACTGTTCCAAACCCTGAACTGTTCCAGGTCGCAAACTGTTCCAAGTCTCAAACAGTTCCAAGTCCCTAACTGTTCCAAGCGCTAAACTGTTCCAAGCCCTAAATTGTTCCAGGTCGCAAACTGTTAAACTGTTCCAAGTCCCACTGTTCAGGTTGGGACTTGGAACAGTTAAGTAAAAAAAACTAGTTTCAGTTGAGGAACGAGGTAGTATATCGCTTTAGCGACGCGGTCGCTTGGCGTTATATTATCGAGATTGAGTGCGAGTGCACTAATATAGTGCGTAGACCATAGACGTAAAAAAAAACAAGGGTGACGGTTTTTGCAGCGTTGCCGATATTTGATATATTTAATTAAAATTCAACTAAATTTTTATTATGATTTTAAATAAGTAGTTAATTTAAGTTGCAGTGTTTTGAAACAGCTGGAACAGTTGGAACTGGAACTGGTATAGGATAGCACATAAACCTGTTCCAAGCCTGTTCCAAAACAAACCTGTTTCGAAAATAACAGATCCTGTTCCAAAGCGTCATCACTAGGCCACGAGCCGCCACTGGACTATACAGGGTTGTTCACCACATACGACACGGAGTATTGTAGCTAAACGATTAGATTTTTACAAATTGTAAGTTTTGGGTTCGTTGAAGGACTATTAGAGCTACAATTTAAAAATAGTTTTACAAGATATAGAGTGTCCCAAATAAGTAAAACATATCAAAGTTGTATTTTTTTAAATGGAACACCCTGTATATTATTACATTTTTAGTTTCTACGATTAAAATAAAGGTAAATTTGAGTAAGGTTTATTACACTTAAACCTTACCGTTTCTGAAATATTTTCAATTTTGCGAAATTGCAGTATAAATTTTAAGGCTTCATTTCTCCGGGGATATCAAAGTTTTTAATACTAAATATTTACTGAAGTTTATTTATTGATCAGTTATTGTGTTGCAATAATAAAAATTATACTACCTTATACAGAGTGTCTAAAACTTTATTTTAAATAATTACTAGGTTTAAACGGCATTAACTTGTTTGATTTAAATGGAACACCCTGTATATTTTATGAGAATGAGATGTACAATTTAATTGTCTATCAAATTGTATTATACCACTTCTTACCTATTCCTTCAAGTTTTCGTAGAAAATGCATTTTCTTATAATTTAGACCTCATTTATCAATATACCCATGGAATATTGACATTTTAGATTGTTTTTAAAACAACAAATGTACAAAATGTACAGGCTAGTAATATTATCGTTTTTAGTAAAACGATAATATTACTAGCCCATTTGTATGCAAAAAGAAAACTATTTAAATCTTTATAAAAGAGTATACCATTAATTAAATAATATACCACCAGTATATCCGCCCAAATACTAATTAACTACATACTTAATCGTGTTCGTTAATAAATTATTCTAAATAAATGTGGATTTGAATCAGAAATCAATATAATAATAAGTTATGAAAATGAACGTATCTGTTGTTATAAATAAGCATTTGCCAAAAAATTAAATATCATTTTTAAGGTGTTACTTTTTACCACAGTGTCTAATACATATACATAATTCAGCTTTTTAGTATTTGAAGCAATTATTATTAATCAACGCAAACAGTCAATTAATGTAGTTTGAATACTGGAATCATATTAATTGGTCCTCTTTAACAAATATTTAAACAGTTTTTTTTTTATTTTTTAATGAAATAAACGAACTATATAGACAATATTAGTATCTGTACTCTTTAAAAATTTGGTACATCTTTAAAAATAATCTAAAATGTCAGTATTCCATGGGTATATTGATAAATGAGTTCTAAATTACAAGAAAATGCATTTTCTACGGAAACTTGAAGAGATAGGTAAAAACAGTATAATACAATTTGATAGACAATTAAATTGTGCATCTCATTCTCATAAAATATACAGGGTGTTCCATTTAAATCAAACAAGTTATTGCCGTTTGAAGCTAGTAATTATTTAAAATAAATTTTTAGACACTCTGTATAAGGTAGTAAAGTTTTTATTATTGCAACACAATAACTGATCAATAAATAAACTTCAGTAAATATTTAGTATTAAAAACGTTAATATCCCCGGAGAAATGAAGCCTTAAAATTTATACTGCAATTTCACAAAATTGAAAATATTTCAAAAACGGTAAGGTTTAAGTGTAATAAATCTTAATCAAATTTACTTTTATTTTAATCGTAGAAACTAAAAATGTAATAATATATAGGGTGTTCCATTTAAAAAAATAAAACTTTGATATTTTTTATTTATTTGGGACAATCTGTATCTTGTAAAAATATTTTTAAATTGTAGCTCTAATAGTCCTTCAACGAACCCAAAACTTTCAATTTGTAAAAATCTAATCGTTTAGCTACAATACTCCGTGTCGTATGTGGTGAACAACCCTGTATAATATACATACGTGTAGTAAAAAAAAATTATGAAATTCACTTAAAATTAACTAATTATATACTTTTTCTTGCTTTTATTTACTACTTGTCAAAAATTAGATGTCAAAGAATTTAGATACGTCAATTTGACTTACCTACTTCAGTAACGTATCGGATGTGTGTGTTAATAAATAATTATTATAACTTCAAGTCTATTTTTATTAGAATTGTATATTTTTATAACTACTATATAATTTAATTTTAATAACTAATAACTACCAACATTATTTATTGATAAGGTAAAATAAAACAACAAATTATTGAGTCTACCGTACATCATATTTTTACATGTTTTGACTAAAATTAGGACGGCACTGATAAACCGGAATTTAAATCGGCCATTTTAAAGTCCCGTCGCGTTCGATCTAATGGTACGTATACATAGGTGCGCTGCGCCGCTAACGAGCAGCGCGCGCGTCGAGCGTTGTCCGCGCGTTACTTTTATTGTTTTAACGAACATCCCGCGATCCATAAAAATCGTAAAGTCTATCTAGTCGTAAATCATGTCTCTATCGTCCGAGAAGAACTACGCAATTTTAATCATGAGTAGTGCGACTCTTTAAACACTCCATTAATAAACAATATTTAAAGAAAAACACAAAGGGAATTTATTCAAAGAAAATACACATAGTCACTGATAAATGCGCGCGGAATGCGCGCGGTGTCTTCACCGGCCGTCCCAATTGAACAACGAACATAAAAAGCGGAGAGTCGAAAAACCGACTGGAGATGGTTCGCCGCTAGCTGTTTGCGCGCGGAACGCGTGCAACTTGAAAACACGTACCAATAGAGGAGAATCGGAGGGCGCGTGCCGCGCGTTCGCGGCGCAGCGCGCCAACGTATACGTACCATAAGATTTCTGATATGCTCCTTCCTTATTTTTTTTATTCAAAGGTTACGATAACGACAGAACCGCCAACGACATTTCTCTGCAAGAAATATAAACCTCAGTAAAAGCGCGTCGAGTACCATCGACCTGCGTCTGGATGAACAACCAAACGAAAGTATATGTAAAAAGAGCGTCAAAGCGTTCTCTTAGACAAGTATAGAACAACATATAGAAGGAAAAGTAACTTCCAAAAGAAACTAGAAGTGGTAATTGCGACTATATAAAAAGCAGTTATATATATGCGACTATATAAAAGCTAGGAAAAGAAACCGATCGAAAGTGACCGGAAATTAATAGTTAGTCGTTATAGTAAAATTTTTGTGTTGTGATACATAGTTAAATGTGTTATCGCCTGTTTAAAGCTTCATTCAGAACCTCCCAATTAGAGGAATAAATTAGTGGTTTCAATTACACTTTATACTTTTTAGTCTACGATCATTCACAATGTCTAAAAAACACAATTAAAATTAATAAAATATCCTAGCGACAGCTTGCGATAGTCTGTTGTATCCATAGAGAAAGCATAATATTTAGCTTATAAAATAATAAACTTTTGATTTCTAACCAAAATTTTTCTTGATGGGTGATAATCAAAGGCCAAAATGACATTCCTCGCAAATTTTGAAGTATAATTAGTGGAAAAGTCAAAAGTTTGTTAACTTTTTCCAATAAATGAAAATTACTACCACTAATTATGACGTTCTGAATGCTTACATTAAAATTAGGTGAACAAACCTCTCTCTATGGCTGATTGAAACTACTAATTTATTCCACTGATTTCGAGGTTCTGAATGAAGCTTAAATATATAAACCTACGAAATCGTTAACAATATATTTTAAGGAAAATTCCAAATTGAAAAAAGGTATAGACAAAAATACCCTATATACCTTATTTTTACCAAGTAATTACCTGCCGAATCTGTTTCGCATATTCCTTTACAATATTTGTAAAAACAAGTACGAAAAAAGATACGATAAGAATTGTTACTTACCTCCGTAAATTGTTCCAAAGACCTCTGGCGTGATAAGCTGTTTTTCCGCTTTACAATTTGTGCTACTCCACTGTTATTAGTAAATTCCTGAGGTTTAGCAAGTGATAGACCCAAAGTACAAGGTCTTCTTACTTCAGTCTCGGTCAATAAAGATGTTGTCACTTCAGGCTGATTATGGTTGTTAGAAATTTTAGTCTTTAATTTAACTTGCGTTTCTTTATGAACATTACCACTATCAGAGTACTTTTTTGAATAAAGTAGTTTTTTAAAATTACTCCATTTGAATTTGTTTCTCCTATTAACCTGAGGGACAGCTTGAGCAGTGTTTTGTTGTTTTGGAAAGCCATATACAGCATTTTGTACATACGGAATCGGGTTTACTCGATGATTAACTTGATAATTTAAAAATTCATTGGTAAGTAAATTATGCGATTCCGATGAAGTACAATGTTTTGATGATTTATCTATCAAAAGACTATCGCTGGATCCAGTAAGAAGATTTCTTTCCAAACAAGGGTTTCGTCCTTGGTAAGGTTGCAAGGGCAGAATACAAGCAGCAAGTTGATTGGAATTTTTACAGTATTCATCTGCAGATGGTGATAGAAGCGTCTCAATAGTAGCAGCAGAATTATCAACTTGGTGGTCATGCAGGTGGTTATTGTTGATTAATGGTGTTGGGCTTGCTGGAGGATGCATAGGATGTAAAATGCGCCCTTTCAAATTTGGAAGTTCTAAAAACCTTTCAACCACACATAAGGAGGTTAAACGAGCTTCGGCATCCTGAAATAAACATATAAAATAATAACGATGTGGAATTAAATATGTTTTCTTGATAAACAAACCTGATCCCAACAATCTTCAGCAGTTTCACACAACAATCTTGCTGCCGCCGTGTCTTTCCATGATACAGGCCAAAGTGGTCTGATTTTTCTTCTACTAACTAAGTTTTGCATTAATTCCAATGTTGGATTTTCTCCGGTTTCTTTGAAGAACGGTAGAGCATAGGCCTGTGGTTCAGCATTCTGCATGTCAGTGCATCTAGTTCCTAATTCCCATAAAACTAGACCCATTGCATAAACGTCAATTTGTTTGAGAGCGCTTTCACAATCACGTAAATTAACAGCACCCTCTAGCACTTCTGGTGCCATATATCTCAAAGTACCTAAAATAGAGAAATATAATTAAAGCCATATAAGGAAAGAGCCAAAGATTAACGATTCGTCATAAAAAAAATTGAATTTGAATTGAAAAATATTAATATTTGCTGATAACTTTTAATGGCAGCTTAAAACCAACTTTTAATAAAATCGTTCAACTCTACAGAATTTGCTAACAAAAATCCCTAGAAAATAAATGATAACAAATGCACAAGGATACATAAACTCGTGCTTATTAAAATGTTATAAAGTCGCATCATTTTATAAACCTATGTCAACATGTCATCAATATCGTCCTTCAGACTCCAAAAGTAGTGGACAAACGAAATGTGTTAGGTACTCTAAATTATTTAGAGACTTTATACCTAACCACCACAGACGCAACAGGGGCGATTTTTTCGTTAAAAGGTTTAAAATTGACTTAACGTCTCCCTTTTGCTGCTATAGCTAATCTTGACCTTCATTTTTTAATCCGAACCGAGGTCGTCGGTCATATCATTGTCAATGGCCTTACTCTTAACTTAGTGAGTGTCTAAATCAACACACGATATATTCGATCTCATCCGGCATCGAACCGAAGATTTTACAGTCTTGCTACGTAACAACAATACGACAGACTTTCCAGACGTTCACCGGTCCATCCACTCGCGTTGTCTAACGGTAAGCTATCGGAAACTGGTATCTCGACGCAGCTGGGTTGTTGCCCTGACCAGAAGGTTTATCGCATTTCTAGGCTAAAAACTTTAACATAGAATTTCAATAACGCCAATTGTCAAATTTTGATTAGTTGATAATATTAACTATCAACTCATATCGCGGATAATCGTTCCTATAACAAGACTATTATACACTTGGATTTTATACTCCTGTCGTGTAACATGGCAAAAGTATAAAATATATTGAGACGCGCACTGCTCATTTGCGCTGGTTAAATTAGGTTAATAAAGATTTAAATACTCGTAGACTCGGTAGACCATTATATAGCTGAAAACCGCGGTTCGGAATCCGCGTAAGCAAAGTAGGTCACGTCCAAATTAAAGTCTGTCCAAAGAGGCAGGGAATATTTCGACAGACGACATCGAAAAAAACAGACAGCGGCAACTGTCATCACTCCCGTTCGGTCAGTCGTCGTGGCAACATCGAATACTTTCTGATGACTGATTGTTCGGGTGTCGGTCTTTGTTTCTTGTTTTCTGTTAATATTCTTGTAATCGTTTTTGTAACTCTAATATTTTTTCGGTGCAAGTGTTAAAGTGAATTTTTCAGATACATATTTTTCTGAAATATTTTAAAAGTCATCCTACTTTGAAGTGCCATGAGTAATCTACACAAGTTCGCCTACTTTTAAGTGCCATGAGAAAATGTATTTAAAGGACAACTCTTTTTTCATGTTGTCAAGGGGATAACCAGGCCCTATGCAGCCGGCTGCTGCCAGTCTGGGAGAAGCTTTCGATTTGATCATTGACTTTTTTGTGTTTTGTAAAATAAAAAAAAACTATACAGTGGTCGCAGCATGACGAAAGTCAGACGGTCTGCGGTCACATCTAATGTGCTGGTAAATTGCGCCGTAATAGAAGCAGAGCCAGTCGAGCTGTCATTTTAGACAGTTCTTATCAACCAACCGACAACTACCTCATGTATCCTCTCGTTAGACAGACTATGGCCTTAGCAACAAAAAAAAAGACGTTAACTCAACTTTAAACTTTAACTATTAAAGTAAAAGTCAAAAATAGCTAATAACCCCAAAAATATGCCAATCTTTTTCCCAATTAATTAAAATATTACCTGCTTCACTTAACGCCTTATTTTCAGCTCTCCTTGGTATAACGGCCAATCCTAAATCGCATATACAACAGGACAAATCTTGCCTAACCAAAATATTTTTGGAATTAATATCTCTATGCGCAATGCAAGGTTTTCCCAGATCGCTGTGCAGATGAGCTATTCCTTTAGCTATGTCCAAGCTCATTCTACTGAGTGTGCTTAGGTCTAGAGTGTTATGTTTCAAGTATTCTTGTAAGCTGTCCCGTTCAAGGCTAAGCAGTAAAACATAATCTGGATGGCCTTGAATTCTGACAAATTCCCCACCTCCGAAACATTTCAATACAGCAGAATTTTCACCAACTACTTTATAAATTTCATGTTCGTTGAAGAAATAATTTCGGTTGTGACCAGGGAAAATTTTTACGGCCAATTCTTGATCATCGATGATTCCGCGCCAAACACAACCGTATCTTCCTTGTCCTAAAAATAAATAATAAAAGAACGTTGTATTATTCAATACAATGTAAGTACTACTATTCAATACATTATAAGTATATGGGTGAATCTCAAAAGTGGCTCACCTCTATAACTTTTTTATTTTTCCAGATAAAAAAACGAGATTTGGTATGTTAGTAGGGCATATATTAGGATGGATTGACGTATTCAATTGTTTCCGGTCACTTCCTGTTTCACCGGAAACGACTACAACTTTTGATTTTTAAATGGCACCCTCGGTATTTTTTTACTTTATTCGATAGGAAATGACACTATGAATAGAATGACATATCATATGTCAACTTTTGACAAATATATTTTAAATTTCAATCTAGAGTGCTATGGCTGTGTTATAAAATAAACACTAATTTTCCATCAAGAAGCCTTGGAAAAATAGATTTGATCGTCTAATGTTATCCGTGGCTTGTCTTGGCCAGTTAAAAGATGCCCAAATCGTATTTTTAATCATATCTCAGTTTTTTCAAATGGAAGAGGGTGGCTCATTAGTATATTTGGAAAAAGTATTTTTTACGAATAATTTGATATCACACACTTGGTATTTCGAGTCAAAATGTCGTTATGAATGGCATGTTACAATTTCAAATAAACCATATGCGAAAATGTCAAAAAACACAATTAAAATTATTAGAATATCATAGCAACAGCTTGCGTTAGTCAGCTGTATCCATAGAGAGAGCCTAATATTTAGCTTATAAAACAATCAACTTTTGATTTCTATATATCCACAATTTCCCTCGACGGAAGATAATCAAAGGCCAAAATGATATTTCTCGCAAATTTTGAAGTATAATTAGTTGAAAAGTTAAAAGTTTGATAACTTTTTCTACTAATTGAAAATGTCTATCACTAATTTTGACGTTCTGAATCTTACATTGAAATTAAAGGAACAAACTTCAATACTAATCGGAACCACTAATTTATTCCACTAATTGAGAGGTTCTGAATGAAGCTTTATAAATAAATTTTCTTTTGAAGCAGTGCGTTTATTTATCTACGAAATTTATATTTGAATTTTAAATTATTCTATTAAAGGGTTTACAGTGTACGTTTCGTAATTTTTCATAGATGATATAATTTAGGATATTTTTGACAGATCTGCAGAAGAAAATTTTAATAGATTTGACATATTGTGACATAACTTCTGATTGTTATGTTTCTTTGATCAGGACCGGATTATTGGACTTCAGGGCCAGGGACGTGCATATGGGTTACCACTGGAATATTTTTCTATAAAAAGCATGTACACTACTGACTTTTTCCCTTTGTTAGCGAAATAGTGTAAGCAGTTTAATACCGATTAAAAGTTGTCTGTCTCTTGATATTTTGTCGATTTCGGCCTCCTTGATGAGATAAAGGTAATTTTATTAATTTGCCTTCATACAAGTCAACAGCAACCTATAAAAAATGTTAATATCATTAACTTGCGTAAGTTTTAAATAAGTATTCGTTGATTCCTCATCAAAAAATATGAAAAAAAGTTCCTATAAACATGGGTATGGAAATGCATAGTTTTAGAGTTACAGGATGTTAAAATTAGGTTTTTTGAAATTATTTTAAATACCATTATTTTTTATTTGAAATTGCTGTAGGCTGAACTAATAGTAATAATATTTAATAATAAATTAGGTAAAACATATAATTTATTAATTTTATTTTAATGATAATTTTATTAACTATTGTGATTAATAAAATTGCATTTATCTTATCAAGGAGGCCGAATTGGACAAAATATCAAGAAATAACTTTTAATTGTCGTTAAACGGCCTACACAATTTTGATATAAAAAAAAACTCTGGGGCACATGTTTTTTTTTGAAAAATATTCCAGTGATAACCCTGATGAATTTATCGACATTTTTTTAGCATTATGTAGTACTTTTGTAATATGTAGCACTTATAATAAATTTTACCCTCAAAATTTCATTCCAATCACTAAAACTACTTGGAAGAAAATTATAATAAATCGAAAAAATATTAAGATTTTAACTAACTACAAAACAAAGCAGAATCGGGAATCGGATCTATGTTAATATGAAAAATAAATCTTATTTTTACGTGAGGAATATCCTCACGAGAGATGGCACATGTTTTTTGAAACACCCTGTATATGATTTTGACTTTTTGACAGTCTTCTAAAAATTACAGAAAAACAATCTACTTTTGTAAAAGGTATATTCCTTTTTCTTATATCAATTTAAATAAACTTTGTTTATTACAAATACCCACAAATTTTGTTATTATGTACTTTGTTATTCATTTTAATATTATTTATATTCTTGATAATAAATCACATTCAATTTTTGGATGATTCACCATCTTGAATTACTAGCTAATCTAATGTGCAAAACAAATTGATCAGCAGACATCATAACAGACAGATACTTTGATAATCTGTAATACGTAATAATCAAATAAAACATACAGATTATTCTATATTTTTTATCTCGGAAATTGCTTAATAATTATTTTATTCCATTATTTTCTGAAGGCCTGTTATTTTTGATGTATCAGTGTTCAAATTTATATGTGTGTTTAATGGTGGGTTGGTCAACTCTCAACATTAAGCTTCATTGAGAACCTCGCAATTAGTAGAATAAATTAGTGGTTTCAATTAGCGTAGAAGTTTGTTCCTATAATTTGAATGTAAGCATTCAGATCATCAAAATTAGTGGTAGGAATTTTCAATTAGTGGAAAAAGTTAACAAACTTTTGACTTTTCCACTAATTATACTTCAAAATTTGCGAGGAATGTCATTTTGGCCTTTGATTATCATCCGCCAAGAGAAAATGTTGTTAGAAACCTAAAGTTTATTGTTTTATAAACTAAATATTAGGCTTTCTCTAAGAAGACAACTGATTACTGCAAGCTGTTGCTAGAATATTCTATTAATTTTAATTGTGATTTTTAGACATTGTGAATGATCGTAAACTAAAAATTATAAAGTGTAATTGAAACCACTAATTTATTCCACAACCTCGCAATTAGTGGAACAACCAACTCGCCCACTTTTAATTAAAAAAATATATGAAAAATATGTTTTTTAATTAATGCTAGATTGATGCAATTTTTTAATTTATTGTCTTAATATGATTTTAAGACCAAATGAAACAAAGGTAGAAGGTAGAAAGATGCAAGCAAGAAAGAAACAACTACAAAAGATTAATATAATATTTGTAATCTGACTCCTTAGTCCAATTTACATATACTACATCACCTTAGTATTTCTTGTATAGGCTTGGTGCATTCTCCGCCGGTGCTGCCACCATAGGAGAGAGAATATCGTAAGCAACTAGTATTTACAAATACACGGGATTAAATAGCGAGTATACGAAAAATTTACTATATAATAATTATTCTAAATGTTAGGAAGTATAATTTGTGAAAATTTTAAAAATAAAAATAAAAAAGTAAATATTTTGATATGTTCAGAACCTCCTACCTGAGTGTTTCATAGTCTCAAAACTGCACTATCAAAAAACTAAAATACTTAAATATTATGACATAGCCACGATTTCAATATTCTTTTAATGCGATCAACATGAACTGTAACCGGGACGGCGGCGTGAAATACGTACTGATAATTTCTGATTTCTTCCGTTGACGCGCTGCGGTCGGAATTTGTTGAAATCAACGGAAATGCACCAAGCCTATACAATTAAATATTTATTTATACTCTGATACCAAGAAATTGATAAATGTTAAATATTCTTCAGAGTACAATCCAAAAAATCACTATTTTTTATTCATTATTATTTTAAAATTTAAAAAATATATAAAATACGTTTTATTTTCGTTAAATTGGAAATAAATAAAATTGTACTAACCGATAATATTAACCAGTTTTAACTTATCCAAACTGTAATCAGGAGGAGGTGGCATAGATAAGCTATTTTCAACATCACTCTTCTTTGGCTTTTTTTTCCAAAAATAGTACGACACTCCTCCAATAATGAACGCCACGATACTAAAAATGACTCCAATGATCAACCAAATTAGTGGATTCACAGTATCTTTTTTATTGGGATCATTTTCCATGGGAGGCGGATCAGATATTGGAATATAGACATCAGAATAGTTTCTATTACACATATTGCCAGAACAACAGCAAAATTTAGTGTTATTTTTGGCCCTAGATGGTGGTTTGTCAGCAAGACATTCGGATTTGTCGCATTCATTGGGATTACCAGAGAGTGACCAACAGCCTGAAATAAACATAAATTTTTTATACATCTAATTTATAAAATATTAACCCTGCATAGTCCAGTAGGGGGTATACCTACAGGTGTATATCACTAATATTTTTAGAAATAAATAGATAGTAAAGTGAGCACCAGAAAATCTGTTTAAAATATGAAATTATAGCCTAAAATAGTATACATCCCAAAATTTATACATCTAATTTATAAATATTAACCCTGCATAGTCCAGTAGGGGGTATACCTACAGGTGTATATCACTAATATTTTTAGAAATAAATAGATAGTAAAGTGAGCACCAGAAAATCTGTTTAAAATATGAAATTATAGCCTAAAATAGTATACATCCCAAAATTTATACATCTAATTTATAAATATTAACCCTGCATAGTCCAGTAAGTGCTATACCCTATAGACTCATATCACTATTATTTTCAGAAATAAATAGCAAAATAAAAAAAATTGTTTAAAATATGATATTATAGCCCACAAAATAATATTAGACACCCTATACTTACTTTAGACCCTCTCATGGTGTTTTATTCCTTCAATTTCCTTTTATTTAGAAATCAGTTTGTATAATCTTAGTTAACTTAAAATTAATATAAAGAGAATGATTGATATGAATATCATCACACATACTTTTGAAAATCACATTACACACAACATATACAGGATGCTACAAATTCGAGGTACCAGCATCGGTATCTCGGATTTATTTATTTAGCGTATGGCGTACATGGATTTAATTACAACATCAAATGTATATATTCAAACACAATATAACATGTAAACAGATTGTCACAAATTGTAAAAATAAAACTAGATATTTAAAAAGTTATACACAAAACATTACAAAAAGTACACTTAAATTTTAAAATCTAGGCTATTGATCCAGTTCAACACGGTGTCTGTGGCTTCAAAGAAATCACTCGCTTCTCCTCCATATGCTGTAAGAGGGCATTCAGTTACAATGTGATGAACAGTTTGACGTGGCTCTCCGCAGTCACAAGTCGGTGATCCGGTCAGTCCCCATTTATAAAAAGAATCACGACATATGCCATGAGTCGTTCTTACCCTGTTGAGTACCTTCCACTCGTGGCGGGGCAGCTCCATCCCTGGTAGAGCTGCTGTAGTGTCGATGACATAAGCTGCTTGATCTGGTTTCAAAGAGTCCCAGTACTCCCTCCATTTATCATTTATACTGAAGTTTTCTCCCAGAAGTTGTTCTGCTAATAGTAGTGCGGGGGATCTAGACTTCAGTCTTCGCAGACGGGCATCTGGCAAGTCGTTGTGGACTGGAAGATGGGGATTTGATAATACTTTCTGATATTCCTTAACGAGTCTTTCCTGTCTTCGAATACTGGGAGGTGCAATATGACTCAGAGTGGGCAGCCAAGGTAGAGGTGTGCTTTTTAAACAGCCGCTGACTATTCTCATAGTCTCATTAAGTTTGGTGTCAATTATCTTTACGTGGCAGCTGTTTAGCCAAACTGGAGCGCAATATTCAGCAACTGAGTAAACTAGGCTGAGAGCTGATGTTTTAAGAGTGGATGCGTTTGCGCCCCAAGTAGTACCGCAAAGTTTGTGTATTATATTATTTCTAGTAGTTATTTTAGCTGCGGTATTCTCTAGATACCTTTTATACGAGAGTGTTCGGTCCATTGTTACTCCTAGATATTTTGGATAAGGGTTATAACGTAGCAAGTTGTTATTGAAGTATACTTGGGGCTCCAGGCGTGCTTGTTTATTATTGAGATGAAAGCACGACACTTCAGTTTTATTCATATTTGGGATTAGTCTCCAGTTTGCGAAATATTTTCCCAGTACAGACAGGTCTTCTGACAGTAGGCCATTAGCTTCCTCTATAGTTTTACTGCGGATGGCAAGAGCTAAATCGTCGGCATACCCAAATTTTGTTGACGTTGCATGTGGAATGTCGGAGATATATAGATTAAACAGTACCGGTGCGAGTACCGAGCCTTGAGGGAGCCCATTATTAAGGTGTCTTATTTTACTCCTGTTTTTTCCTGTTATTATTTGGAAGGGCCTGTCGCACAGCATGTTGTTTAATAGAGATGCTATTCTACTGCATGGTACTACGTTGAGGAATTTGTATAGAAGACCTTCTCTCCAGACCGTGTCATACGCCGCAGTCAAGTCAACATACACCACAGTGGTCTTCAGCTGTTTTTGGAATCCTGCTTCAATGTGTGTTGTTAGGCTGAGTACCTGGTCCACACAGCTACGATGCGGTCTGAATCCAGCCTGCTCAACAGGAGTATGTTCCAATATCAATGGGCCTATTCGGTTTAATAACATACGTTCTAGAAGTTTGTAGCATGAACTTAATAAGGCTATTCGGCGGTAGCTTTCAGGCAAGTTCTTAGGTTTGTTTGGCTTTAGCACTAACTATTTTGGATTTCTTGAGCTCTATTGGAATATGCCCTGTTAGTAGGATATCGGAATAAAATTTACTCAGCCACATTCTTGTATGTTTCCCGCAGTTTTTGAGGAATTCGGGGTGAATTCCATTGAATCCAGGAGCTTTACCAGATTTGGTGTCTTCCAGTGCTTTATCCACTTCTTCCACAGAGTATCGCTTGACGTATTCAGAGTGGGCACTTGCTTTTTGGCGGCAGATTGTCAGTTGTTTTTTAAAATTTGCGTGTTGTTGTTTGCTGCTAGGGGCCTTAGAGAGTGTTATCACTCTTGCAGCGATTTGGTCTGCTGATACTTCCGGTGGTTCACGAGTGGGTGGGTTAGAGCTGCCCAGTTTCCTCAGAAGGCTCCAAGCCCCCCTGCTAGATTTTTTGAAATCCATTCTACCTGTCGTTTCTTCCCATTTTTTACAGCGTTCTATATCAAGACGATTAAGGAGCTCGTCTACTATCTCAGAGTCTCCGTTGTTCTGAAATTCCTGATAGAGCTGTTCCATGTCGTCGCTCCATCCTGGGACATATTCCTTTCGAAATCCACGTGGTATACACTTTTTTGCTGTTGTTATAACGGTTTTGCCAAATCTACCATAATTGTGGCTTTTAGGAGGGATCCATCTGACGACTTTGTCCAACTCCACAGCGAATTTGTCCCATTGGGCCTTTCCAAAATTCCACCTAGGCCTGGGTTTAGAATGGATTATCGGAATTTTAATTCCAGTTTCGAGAACTATGGGGCGATGTTGACTGTGCGGGAAGTCATCCAGAACTTTCCTCGACATTGATATAGGACGTTTTTTGGCATTCTCTATGATAGAGCTGTTCCATGTCGTCGCTCCATCCTGGGACATATTCCTTTCGAAATCCACGTGGTATACACTTTTTTGCTGTTGTTATAACGGCTTTGCCAAATCTACCATAATTGTGGCTTTTAGGAGGGATCCATCTGACGACTTTGTCCAACTCCACAGCGAATTTGTCCCATTGGGCCTTTCCAAAATTCCACCTAGGCCTGGGTGTAGAATGGATATTCGAGAACTATGAGGCGATGTTGACTGTGCGGGAAGTCATCCAGAACTTTCCTCGACATTGATATAGGACGTTTTTTGGCATTCTCTGAGACAAAACAGAGATCTGGGTTTGTTTCAGTATTCGACGCAGCTGATCTGAAAGAGTTTCGTTCTTTGGCATCAAAAATTAGGTGAAGATCATGCGAATCAGCCCAGCTCGCAAGGCGATCGCCATTTTCATCAGTGGTTCGATATTTCCAAGCAGTGTGATGGCTATTGAAGTCGCCTGCATATATTGCAGGGTGTGGATAGACATTTAGGACATTATCAGGCATGGATGTTTGAGGTGGCTTATAGGCATTAACGACGGTAATGTCAGCTATTTTTGTTACTACATGGTGGATGTTTGAGGTTACTGTAGAATTTAATAATATAGCGTTTTCAATGTCATTCCGAACGTAGGTTGCGACTCCATATGAGCGGTGGTAGGTAGCTCCAAGTAGGTCAAAACCATGAATTTTGCCTCTGCGACGTTGCTGGTCTTCACTCTCTATATGGGTTTCCTGGATAACAGCCATGTCAATCTTTTGGTCTAGCAAGAGTTTCGAAATGTACTCGCTTTTAGCTCTGCTAAGACCTTCGGCGTTTAATTGGCAAATTCGAATTGTTTTTCCGAGATTTTTTGTCAATTGGTCCTGAGAAGGGCCGTGTTTGGAAGATTTTCGAATATATGAATCCATGTATAGTAGCCAGGAGATCCGGAGATATTGTCTGGTTGCCGAGGGTCGCACTAGCTCATTTAGCGTGACCCGGGGTGCACGTGTAGCATTCTGCTACGGACGCTAGCTAGCCTTACACCCCGGTATCTCGGAAACCGTAATAGATACGAAGATAGCTAAATTGGAGCAAAGTTGCGCCTTGGCATGTTCACCAAGATGCCATCAAAAAAGTTTTAAAAATTTCAAGGATTGCTGGGTTTTTAGGAAAAAACGGATTTTTTTGAAAATCAATTTTATTTTTTCCTGTCGTTACTTTTTAAAAAATCAAAAAACTAATTGCACATTTTCATAGCCACTTTATTAGGGTTATCTGATGGTATTTTTATATTTTCAAATTAGCTGATAATTTTTGAGATACAGAGGCCAACTTAATTTCTTTAAATACGGACCTGCATTTTTTATTTCAGGTTTTGAAAGAACTTGGTCTCCTGAGTACAATGATATGCCACACTTGATACTTTTTTTTTTGGGGTACCTTAACAGTAACAAAACTATTTAACTGTTATTTAAAATAAACAAGTCCGACTCTGGTTTTTTAATTTATTTAATCTGATCTCAGCACAACAATATTGATCAGCGCTAATTAACATTGAATACTCACGCCAATTGAAAGATTCAAATAATTAATATCCAGGTCAGCAATTTAAAGATATATTATTTTTAAATTTTTTTATTGTGAATTTGAAATGTCAGTGTACGATCTAATAATATGCATAATATTAATCTTAGTTATTATAAATAAATCAACTTCTAAAAACTAGTTTCTAATGCTCTGCATG